CTTTCAGTTACTAAAAATATTTCAAAATTTTCAGATAACGAAACAAGAAATCACTGAATTCATTCAGAAATGTCTGAAGGGCGAGGTGATGCCATTCTTAAAAAGTGATGACATCCCGGAGGACTGGGATAAACACCCAGTGGTCGAGTTAGTAGGAAAAAATTTCGAGGAACAAGTATTCCAACCAAAGAAAACTACTTTCGTCTTCTTCTGTAAGTTTTAATTTCCTGAAGAGATCCCTCGCAGCAAAAACTATTCCACTATTACTTTTTATCGCAACTTGAGCGACCTAATGACGGCAGTTCCGCGAACCGTCCAAGATTGACCGGACTTTCCATCTGGTGTTCCACTGCTACTGAGAAATAACCTGAAGCGGATTGCGACTACGCCAGACTTTTGCATCCCGAGAACTGCACACCCAATTTATACTACATAAAATTTACGTTTCCCATTCGTAGGAGAATCAAGTTGTTTTTTGCTCATGAGAACCACTCTCTATTGCGCGCACCTCCCCCCTTCATAGAAACTCAAGCTTTTTCTCTCTCGCGAGCAAGTACCACCCTCTCTCGACAGAACATCTCACTTATCAAACTTCACTTCATATCATTCCAAAGCCAGCAACAGCTCAGCAAAGTTTTTCGCAGCCTTCATAAAATGAAAACTATCTAAATCAAAAAATAAAAATATCTCTGGGCTGTTTCCGGCCAAAACTGAAAGGGTGTTTCAGACGCGCCGTGGTGTGCAGCGTGCCAGAACACGATGCCGGAATGGGAGAAGCTCGGCGAGTTATACAAAGACAAAAAGAAAGTGACCATTGCTAAGATGAATTCGATCAACAACGAAGTTCCCGGACTGCCGATTTTGGACGTCCCCACACTAGCGCTTTTCATCAAAGGATCCACAACAGTTGGTTGTTTTTTTTTACTTAATTCCTTGGGATCGATCAAAAATTCACAGCATAGTCTATTAAAATTTCCCTCATTCCTAAAGGGAGAAACGCGCAACACGCAGTACACATTTGTACCGATTTTTTGCCCTGTTCTGCAAGTCTAACGTCCATATCTGATATGTTTGCAAGTATCAGTTAGCCAAACGCGGTTATGTGCAACATGGATCAGTTTCACAAAGAGGGACACCGGAACTGAAAATGCTGCCAGCCGCTGGTACTGGACAATGTGCACCGACTCCGACCACTTCTAAGTGCTCCTGTCTCCCAGACAGTACTATCAGATAATCAGTAGTTAATATATACGGGCTGGCATCCATCCAATTTCGCACCTCTTTCCTACTTTTACTACAGTTCGTTTTTCATGATCCAGAACAGCTTTCTCAGACCGCTTCTGAAAGCAATTTGCCTCATCTCCCTCGCCTGATTCGTGCCTGTTTTGCTTCTCGTTTTGACTAATTTTTGCATCTAAATGCGATTCTGAACTTCTTTTCCGCATCTTCTTATTTTACATCCTATGTAAAAATTCTGATGCAGTGGGGTTTAAAATGAGGCACAGAAGCACCGAAAAGTATGAAATGGTACGAGGTTCTTGAGTGCACTTTGAGGCAAACATATTTCATTATGAACGAACATTGTTTTCGCGCATTTTTCAGCCTATTTACTACAAGGAGGACGATCGGACAACAAATGCGTTCTCGCAATTCATAACAACCAGTCTAAAAAGCGCTGCAGAATCCAGCGCAAAAACGAAGAAACCAGCCAGCAAGCCCAAAGAAGAGACTAAAAAGGAAGAAAAAACGGAGAAAGCGGAAAAAACGAAGAAAAAAGGGAAGAAAAGCAAAGACGAGCTATAAGCAGGAAAGTTCACGAGCAACGATCTCCCTTCGACTTGTTTCTTTTCACCGTCTCAGCTGCGCTTGCCTTCTCCCAGTCCCTAAAAAAACGCCTATAAACGAATGAACCTTATCGATAATAGGCGCTTGGCTGTTGCTAGTAGTTGGATATCCCCGCAGACGATTCGGGAGAGTGTGCGTGTCACTGGTGCTTGTCGCCCCCTCTACAGTTTCATCCCTCACCCTCAGCAACTCCGGAACGCAAATCGTCGCCAATGACGTACCAGCCTTGTCGATACGATCATGCCTTTTTTGCATCTATGCAATGCAAAAACGCATACTGTCGAAAAGTTACATGTGTGTGTGTCTGTATGTGCACCCGTACCGATTTCTTATCTTTAAGCCCAGAAAAGCTACAAGGTTGAAACTTTGGCAAATTAATCTACATGCATGTAGAGCCCCCATCTCCAAAGTGGACATTCTTGCCCACGTGCTCCCCACGTACGGCACATGGAAGCTTTTTGCAGGCGTGTTGCTAACTCGGGAATCAGAGAAGCTAGAAAGCTGGGATTTTAAGGGGATGTACCCTGTCCATGTAGAACTTAATGACTTCAAACCTAGCGCCCAGCTATACGTGGTTTATAAATACGGACCTGTGGAATTTTTTGGCGAGTAAGTTGCTAACTCGGGAACCAGAGAAGCTAGAACGCTGAAATTTTAAGGGAATGTTTTCTAACCGTCGTGGTAACCGGTTTTAATTCTTTTAGCTGTAAGCATCTGCCCGAAAACCTGCAGGGAACCGTGCAAAAAAACGCATCTTCACTTCAGAAATGATACGCTGGCCAATTATTGCATGATTCCATTTTGTCGAAAGATTGCCTTTAATGCTAGGATATATTGCGGTGTTGCAATTTGAACATTTGTTACGCTTGTACGCACAGTCCACGCCTACGTAGAAGCTCATCTTTTGCTTGGCATCCCGCACATAAATAGTAAGCACCCTCAGAAAAATACTGCTCCCTGCTCACCTAGCTTGGCCAGTTGACGAAATCACTTTTTGTTACATATAGCTTTGACGTATCCGAACGCTCAACACAGCGACAACATTCATTTTACGTCTTCTTGCCCATTCTACATCTACTTGCTCAATTACTTTACGTCAACGTCTACTTGTTATGGGAAACAGTTAGTAACATTCTCAGCCGTATCTTGAAAATTGACATCGTATCTTGAAAGTCGAAACAGAGTGTTGTGAGGTATAGACATAAAGGCGTTTCATTGCCGAATTAAGTTAAAGTAATCTAAATGCTATTTTTCACTGCCCAGAAAATTGGGAAAAGGAAGCCTTGGGCAGGAACTCTTCTCCCAGAATATATTCTCAGCAACTAATCCAACCCAAAAACAAGCAAAATAATTCGCCAATGGTGCATTTACAATTTTTTAAATAGCTAATAAAGAAGACGATAATAAACTTCACCATAATTATGATGATGATAATGATCTTGATACCGATGACGAAAGCAACCGACAAATCGGGAAAGTGGCCAAGTAAGAACAAATGAAGCACAA